GCATTCCTGACCCTCAGCCTATTTAAGTTTAGAACATCACATCGAGAGTCTAAGGAGAAAACGACTTGACGCAAGACCTACCGCCCTTTCCACAATGCAAGAGCTAAAGTAGAAACAGCAATTATCTGGTTCAGTCTAGTGCTGCTGGCCTGGAACATGCCATGACAATGTGTTTCTTGTTTCAAAGCCTCTTTTGTACTAGGACACAGTTCAAGGGATCTTGCAATGCCTGCATTTGTAAACATCCAGCACTTGCAGCTACATGCTTTCCAGAGAAAAAGGAGGGCTGAGTCAAAGGGCATTTCTTCCCCTGACAGCGCCTGGGCCACAACCTGGAAGGGATAAGGATTCCCCCTCTCCCCCCACGGTGCCACAGGGAGAAAGATGCTGATCCTGGGGATTTTGGAGGCAACAGGGTTTTTTTACTATTCTGCATGCATATTCCTAAAAAGTCACAGCACGTTAAAAAACATGGAGCTCCAAAGTCACACAGCTAAAAACGTGCGTCACTGCAGATTATTTTAGGCCCTGGTCCAGGCATAATGCAAGTAAGCAACTCCCAGAGTACACGCCTGTAAAAACCATCCAGTCCCATAGCATTCACTTATAGCAGCTTTCCAAACAGGTGGTGAAAAGTGTGAGTGTCTCTGTGCCACCCCTCCCTTGCTCCGGGCTTGAATACTCCTCCTTTTCAGGACACCTAAACTACTTTACCTTTCACAGGTGTTGGGATACTATAGAGTGCGATCAGGATGGTATACAATTTAAGACCCTCTGCCCTTGATGATCCCAAGGAAAGAGTTGATCAAGCCACGTTCTGTGCCTCTGATCTGTTGGATATCGGTTACCTCCCTGCGTTTGCTTTTCATGCACTTGGATTTGATTTGATTTGATTTGATTTTTTTAACTCTTGTCCATTTCTTGCTGCACTTCAAGGAGTTCGCTTGGGAAGCCCTATTTATGGGTTGAAATGCGGCTGAAAGAGTTATTGCCATGTTATTCAGCTGCTGTGCCAAGCCTGCATGGGGATCGGGTTTCTGCTGAAAGGGTGCCAGGCACGTCTGTTTCCAGGAACCAGCAGCCGTATTTAGCCTCCGGCTGCACATGAAAGACTGCAGTCGGAAACGTGACATTGTGTCAACATTTGAGGCAGGTCAGAGCTGGGTGAGACCATGAAAACAAGTCAGGGTAACTCAACACACCCTGTCTGAACAGCGTGAGCGCAGAGACGTTGTGCAAAGCACCCCCGTCACAGTCTGGAAGCCTCAGCAGCAGTATTCCCCTTGACTGCTCTAGGATTTTTTCTTCCATTAACAGTTAACGTTAGGAGGTTAGGTCTCTTTTTTTCCTTTCCTACATGGAAATGGAATACGCCGAAACGTCTGCTCCTAGAGGCAGCTGGGGTGAATGACGCAGCAAAACGAAGGACACAGCACACAGGAGCACAGACATGGCACAGTTGCAGGTTACATAACACTTGGACATCCACAGGGTCGCCGGGTGCCAAGTGTCTCTTCGCAAACATCAGCCTTTTATACCATCACCCCCCAGTTAAAGGCAAAGGCCTATCGGTGCCCTTTTCTACAGAGAAACTGCGGGACCTTTGCAGAAATTTGCCCAAGGTCAATTAGAAAGTCAGTGGCAGGGACAGGAATTCATTCCAGGAGACCTCACTCTGAGTCATTGCCATTGCTATTATTATATTAGAGCGGTGCCCAGAGGCCCTGAACGGGACCATGGTCCCATTGTTTGAGGTGTTTTACCAGTACATATTTCTGCCCTGATGTGGTTACAGTCCATTTGACTACTATCTTTTACCATTCACCATCAATTGAAAGTCACCCTACCTGGTTTTTCCTTTTCACTTTAATCTGAACCATCAGGGGGAAAAAAAATCCCACAATAGCTGTGTACTTACTACGTAAAGGACATCTCGTGCACCTACATTAATATTCATTTTGTCCCACTTTGCTGAGGTAATTGAAGTTTATGTGTGTCCTGTGTGTTTGTTACTAGGAGAGGATCAAGACGACAGAAAAGGATAAATCCAAAGTGATAGTCGTGGAAATAAACTACAACTCTAGTAACAACTTGCAGTCTTTGGATTTCAGACTATTGAGGGCCAAACCTTGTTCTTGTTTGAACCGCCTGGGACTGCAATAGGAAAAGGATTTAGCACTCATTAAAAGTAAATCAAAACAGCAAGAGGTGTGGATTCCTGGCAGAAAGAGAAGCACCTCACACGTTAGCCTGACTCCATGGCACGTGTACCTCACTGTCCGACACTCGATAGTGTCAAGGTTTTGCTGGGGGTGCTGCAGCTTTGGCTGGATACGCGGTGTCCCAGCACGAAGCATTCTCAAGGCATTCTTCTAACCAGGCTTCCTGGCCCTTCTGCGCTATGAGAGCCTTAGAAATACAACACAGCTATCATACAGACACAAATTGCATCATGTCAGTTCACCACTGGCATACACCTTCCCCTCACCTGTGCTACCAAGTAAATTGTTAAAGGCTTCCTGCAACAATGAATGGCACAGCATACAATTAATCCCTTAGAGAAATGGGGCCAATCAACCAGGGGGTGTAAATTGACACAGGCCCATTGATTACACCAGATGATCTCCTGCCCTGTTTCTAGTGTTCACAAACCAATTAAGGGCAAACAAGAACCAGTCCGTTCTGCAGTCCCGAGCTATACAGTAGGAAATGTATGTAAGGACTCCTTCACCCATGTGCACAAATCATTCGAGCCAAGCCATCTGCCTTCCTCAACCATTTGCCTTTGGGGAAGTTTGGCCTCATCTTCATTTGGCAGAAAGATAAAAATTGCATATTGTTATTACCTGCAGTTGATGGGCCTTGAGACAGGTACATTGGGTGCATGACTTACCCAATACACTCAACCCCCAAGACTTTGACAGTATTAGAAAATAACGACTAGTTTTTCCTTGCTGGTTACAAAGTTAATTAAGAGGTTTGTTCCTGTCAGGGGTCCATCCATACCAACTGGGGCTCCATGCAAAGCAAAACTGGGGGTTAAGGGTGTAACTGGGAAGCCTTGGGTGAGAACCGAGCAGCCAGGGTCCCTCCTTACCGTGCACAAGAGCACACCGGCAGATCCACCCAGCTAACAAGCTGTAGCATGCACCAGGCCCCGAAGGTGGGGCATGGAAAAAGGGCATGGCTAGCTCCCAAGCCAACACATGGGTATGCTGCCCTCAGCACAGCCAAGAGCCCAGCCCTGCTGCCATTGACATGAAAGGGAGCTTTGCCATTGATTTCCCGCAGCAACATAGTCAGTGCCCCAAATGAGCAATTACAAATTGGCCAGGGAGACTGACACTCTATGGGTGGTCTCAGATATGAAAAGCTTCAGTGCCTTGCACCAAGGCTGGGCAACGGCTCGTACAGGATTTGCTCGGTCAGCCTGAGGCATGCATATGCCAGGATTTTATGTGAACACTGGACTCTTGTCTCTTCCCCCTCCTGGGCAAGCTGAGAGAGCACAGGCATGGTCATTTTTAATTATGAAGTCCTAAACACAGGGCAAAGAAGCCTACTTCTAATCAGAAAGGTAATCAGGGTCCTTGCTGTATTCCAATAAGCCTTAAAAAGTTCCCTCATTTAAAAGTTGGGGTTAAGCACCATTTTTGTGCCTTAATGAATAGCAAAAGGCTCAAGGGGTTGTGGACTTTTTGCCCCCCCATTTGCCCTAGAAACATCAAGAATGGAAATTCTGGCTTTCCTTGGTTTTGCTGAAGGGCTTCCAGAGTGTCTCAGTGTTGTGACTAATGGATGAGGCAGCGGGTAATGACTCTTCACACAGACAACCTGTCTCTCTCAGGTGGTCGAGGCCCAGACACAGCTTTTCTGGGGGAGGGAAATCACCGCGAGGATCCCTGCCAAGATACCATCCCACTTCATCCCGATGAACGTGTGCAATTTGCCTTCTGTGGAAAGACCACAAGATCTGTCCCAGACTTGGTTAAACCCCAGGAACTTGTGGGAGTTCAAAACCATCTGCTCGGAGGCCTGGTGTAGTGCACCTCCCACTGACAGGCCCCCACCCTTGGCTGCAAGGCTTCATTAAGCATCTGCTGGCCATCGCTATTCCTGGAGTCCCAGAAGATTGAGAAACAAAGCTCCGGGCTGTATTAAAGCCATTTGGACAGAATAGGGAAACACATGCCCAGGCTCTACCTATGTGTGCAGCCCCGGCAGGCCTATCCATATCCAATCTCTTCCCGCTCCATAGACCGCAGAAAGGATGATGCTGGGTCTAGGTCTGGAAAAGGCTGTGGGAAATACTCCAACAGGACAGAAAAGGGAAAGCCCCACTCAAAAGATGCCCTCACTCGCCTGTAGGACTCAAGAGGCCTTGAGACAGCCTGAACAATGAGCTGGAAACAACTGACTGTCTCTCTTCCCCTCTCAGTTGCTCAGGTTTTACACCATCACCTCTGCTTACAATAGCACCTATTGTCAGAGAGCTTTGTGAGCATAGATTGGAGTCAAATTTCTAATGTACATTTCTAGATACAAGGAAAAGAAACCAAAATCAAATGAGTAGACACAAAAGTAGCGCGTTTTCCCTTGCAGGGTACTCTTCAAAAAGGTAGAAAACTCAGAGTTCCCCCAAAATCAGGCTCTGCCCCCCATCCTCCAGCCTGGCAATAGAAAAATAATGGGCAAGGTGGTTCCCTTTGGCCATGGATTACAATGAGGGGATAGTAAAGGACCCAATTGTGCAACTTCTTGGATTAGGGTGCATGTTGCTCACTATTTCCACATGCTATCGATTGCTGTATTGGAGCGCATGAAATAATATGGACTGAATATTTAAAACCACAGGAGGCAAACCCTTATCTTCCACAGGAAAATAATTATTTTATTAAGTATTTTAAAACAACTACTTAACATTTACTCAAGATAAAAATATGTACAAGATCCCACCTTCAGAAAGGCTCCAAAATATAAACACTGTACCTCTCCCCAGGGAAAAAAACCCCCTAACTCTTCTCTTCAAAAATATCCCCAAAACAAAAAAAACAAAACAAAACACAGAAATACATTCATAGTTCTCACGTCTTTATGCTCAAGTAGTTATACAAATAATAGACATCTGAAACGTATTACCCTTTAATATATTTATATAATATATATTTTATATATACATATATATTTATAACAGGATTTTACAAATAAAGGCAACAACTGTATACCAAAAAAAAATCCAATAAAATAAACATTAGAACACAATCTGCAATCAAGCATAGTGCATCTCAACAGCTGGTGCAATGGTAGAATGAAATGAGAATCCAAACAACGTTTACTCTGGACACAATTTCTCCAAACTAGTATGAGGGGGGGGAAAAAAAAAAAAAAAAAAAGTATCACTGCTTTTTTTGTTGTGTTTTTTTAAAGCCAAATCCAACACCATATTTATTCAAAAAGAAATTTCTTTTTCCATGGTGCCGAGTCCCTCTCGGTTCTAGGAGCTGTAAACAGGGAACGTGACAAAGTTCTAACCAACTTTACTTAATCATTTTGGCCAGGGATTACCAAGAAGCCTAAGGGATTTAGATGCCCAAACCTCACTGGGATTAGGCTCCTTTCAAAAAACCTAGCCTTGAATTTTTCAAAGGCACTCAAGGGAGAAAAGTCAGTGGGTCTCTCTCTGGGGACCTCCACTAAATTCTTTCCTCCCACAAGAACTCTGGATTTGACCCAAGTTGTGAAACAGCCAGTTGCTGGCTATTCCCCAGCTAAAGTGATTCTTTAACCATTTTGATTTCAGATATAGCAGACCCAGAAACAACTGTACAGCAGCAGTAGAAGAAAGGTCTGCGGTCAGGTGCAACAAGCAGAGAGATCCATGGGATATTTTCTCCATCCCTCCTGCCCAAACTAGCAGCTTGAGTTATAGGAAGGGCTGCATGTTATTTTATTACTTAGATGTGCACCACATAAAGCTTCCAAGCAGCATCTACATTTTTTTCTTCTTAAACATTCAGCAAAGGTGTGGAGACAAACCCGTCTTAAATCTACCTGAACCACAGACTGTGCATTACCAACCAGTGATTGCTACTCTGATTTTCTTTTTTTTTTTTTTTTTAAGTGGAATTAACACCAATATTTAAAGTAAGTGTGTGTGTGTGTGTGTGTGTGTGTGTGTGTGTGTGTGTGAGAGAGAGAGAGAGAGAGAGAGAGAGAGAGAGAGAGAGATCTCACATACTGGCAACTGGGTGGGGACACAAATCAGTTCAGCTCAAGCCATTGGCGGTGGGCCATTGCTTCGAAAAGCCCTCATGAGAAGTACCATATTTTTATATTCACAGACCCTAAAACCTAAATCCGCCTTGTGGAAATTTTTTCACAGCTTTGAAATATAATCCTAGCTGGCTAAGTCAGCTGTTGCTTGGTAGATGGGGAGGGTTGGGGGTAAAGCACAAAGAAACCTTTTTTTCTTTTTTCCTTTTAAACTCTTCTGAATGGCTAACCTGGTGCATCCTTCATCCTTTCCCAAGCTATCTGAGGAGTCAGGGAAAAGAAGATTTAGCTTCCTATACACAATGAACCTTATCCCCACACCTCAGTCCAGCCGCTATATAAAACTGACAGTCTCAAACTTTAAAAAAAAAAAAAAAAGGTCACACTCTGCTTAGTCTTTGGTTTCCAAGTTCAAAGGAGGAATATGCTTTAAAGCTTGAAGCAGGGCTGAAGAGTCGATAGGGGAATGGGCTGGCATAGGGGAAGGGAGTCTCTGAGGCATCAACAGAGATGGAGAGATTTTATCCGGGTTCATTAACCCGGAAAGTGCTGCAGCAGAGGCTGGGAGACTTGGATACAAGACGGGCACAGACGCTGGGTACCAACACTTCTCTAGCATCGGCAGATAGGCCGTTGCAGATGGCGGGATCAAATAAAAAGGTAGGCACAAAGGAGGCTGGTGAGGGTGAGGGCCCAAAAAGCTGTTTGAAGAGCTAATCATATCACTGCTAAAATGGCCTTCATCTTCTGAAGTTTCCATCCTGGTCCGTTTGGCGGGTGGGTCCTCAGTCTCCTGTTTAATAGAGCTTATTCTCTCTTGCACAGTATATTTGAGTTCTGTATCCTTTTTGAAATACTGTTGATCAGATTTTGAGTCACTTTTCTCCAGTTCTCCCCCATACCCACTGTCTGTGTCTGTGTCACTGCCACTCTGCTCTCCACTGGAGTGGGCAAAAGTCCTCTGTATAACAGGCACACAGTTTTTCCCATGTCCCTCAGCCATTTTGGTCAAAGAGCTGGACTTCTCCTTCAAGTCCACCACCATTTTGGGGGACATGTCTCCAGATTTTCGGCTGCCTCCGCCCTGAAGGACTTCAGAAGCCATTCGGTGCAGATGGCTGACTAGCTGGGAAGATTTCAGATCCTTGCTATTTTCATGCTTTGCCAGGTATTGCAGCACTTCCTTGGCACACATTTGGAAACCAGATCGAAACATTTCCTGGCTGGAATCAAGGTTTCTTGATGACAGGTCACCTGAGGAAACATTAACAGAAACAAATTAAAAATTAACAAAGTGCTAAATAGTTCCATTATCATCATCACAGTGCATTGGTCAGAAGACACTGGGCCTCCATATTAAGCATCCATTACAAAGAAACTAGGTAAGTGAATCTGACTTCACGCTACGGTCAAGCTGAATACCCATTTTTACCATATCCATCTAAGAATGAGTCTTCACATACAAGTTTCGCTTTTCAACTCATTATATGTGGCAATCAGATGCTAGTTTGAGAAGAACAGCAAAAAAGACTCATCAGGAAAACACCTATTCCACAGCCATCGGGAAAAAAAAAGAAAGTGCAAGAGTTCAAACTTTCCCCCTCAGCTCCAGACCCCAGGGAGGACTGGGCTTAAACTTTGACAAGTGACGCCAGCTCTGGCTGTGTAACTCTACTGCACGCCCTGTGGCTGCGGAAAGAGTAGCAGCCTTCTTAGAAAAGCTGATTTTATCCTACCAGGTGCAAGCAAGTGCCGGAAAAGAAGGAGGTACGAAACAGACTTAGAACATCAATAAGCCCTTTAGACTGGTTCCCCCTCAAGCTGTGAAGGGTAGGCAAACTGATTACTGGAGAGACCAAAAAAAGTGTGGGTTAAACAGATGTTTTCATCTGTTTGAGAGAAAAAAAAAAAAATGTAAAAGCTCATCAAATCAATGGAAAGATTCTGGCCAGCGTATCTTTGGATTAGGCCGCCCAGTAAAAATGTACTTCCAAATGAAATATTTTAATATTCAGTTGAACTGAAAAATGAAAAAAATCATGGCCAAGTATAAATGAACCAAATAGGGCAATATAGGGTATCTTTTCTGCATGTGGGCACACATACATGCTGCAGGGAGAAGGGCGCAGGAGTAACTAAAGGAGTGGGGGAATGTGCTTACATGTCCCTTCTCCAAAACCTAGTCTCGTAAGTCACCCATATTTCAAAGGAGCTGAAAGCGAGTTCGCTCTGCACACTAGGACTCTCACGTGATACAAGCATGACTTGAATACTCACCAGCTTGTAAGCCACTCTGTAATGCAATTATTTTCTGCTGCTGCTGCTCTATGAGATTGGTCAGTGCTTTCACGTGTTTCAAGGTAAGTTCAAGAACCACTGCCTTCTCCAAGTGACCTAAAGTCTGGAAACAAAAAGACACATAAGTACAGTTCCGATGAAATGAAAGAGTTACTGCCATGGGAGAGAGCTAACAGTGTCCTTACTCTGCAAAATCTTTTATCCTGAATAAAAAGTGGCTCTGACTCCAGAGTTTATTATGTAAGCCATAAAAAAACAAGGTGGTGCTGGTTGCAGAGAAAGCTGTTAAGTGGCTCTGACTCCAGAGTTTATTATGCAAGCCATAAAAAAACAACAAGGTGGTGCTGGTTGCAGAGAAAGCTGTAGTTATGTCTTATGAGTATTTTGGGACCAACTACATAGCTTGGAGGAAAGTATCTTATTTATCTGTTCTGCTACCCCTGCCGGTATCGTGACCTTAACACCAGGGACTCCAATCAAGAGTTCTTTTGAACAGCGACAGGAGAGGGGAAACCTGCAAAGTGGCAACCAAAATAGCTTTCCCCAATAAAGTTCTGCGATAAAAATATACTTAAAAAACCCCCAGCCCCTTAACACTCATATTGTGAAAACCAGAAGTCCTGAATGCTACAGCAGGAGAGGTTGCTACCTTGAATATCTACTCCACTATGTGAATGTAGCAAATCATTTAAATCTTGGCAGTAGGTAGCATTGAAACAAAGTCTAAAAGGACCGGACCGTGGGATAAATTAGGGATCGCCTAGTAACTGGCGTCTGGTCCTACTTTGCAAAGAGCGGCATGAAGCATTTCCAAGATCCAAAAGGAAATGCCCAAACCTTCGCCGAACGATGTTAAAATTCAAGCGTGCATTAACGACCTTTACAAAAGGCCCGATTGTACCATAGCAGCAGCTCAGGTCTTATCTTTCTCCCTCCCTACTGCATTACAGGCATTGGTATAGAAATTCACTGCCTTTGCAAGGAAATCTAATGCTAAAGGAAGATCGAAGTGGCAACTCCAGCCAAATCTCAGCCTTTCCCAGCCTGTGCTGCAGTGCTCAAAGGAAGCCTCTAGATGGCACGTTTACTTGCACAGAAATCCAGGAGACCAGCACGCACCCCAAAAAGGAAGAGGAGCTTGGCCAGTAGCCAGATTTTCACTTACTGTAAGTTTGAGATGTTCTGGTAAGAGATCTTTCAGTTGGGCGATGCACTCGTTAATCCTATCCCGCCTTTTCTTTTCTATCAGCCTGTGGGGCAACTTGTAGGTCTCCTGCAAACCAACAGCAGGGAGAGAAAGGTGGCTAAGTCAGTCAGCCCAGATCCCAAATGAGTCCCTAGCACCATGGAGAGACACAGCGATCAGAAATGATCTAGAAACTAAAACGCGACCTCCCGGCGATGTCACCAGGGAGCTCGACTGGCTTCGTCCCTTGCAGAAGCATCGCTCAACTCCTGCAAAACTCGGTTGCCCTCCTTCCCCCGCTGCAGGAGACGCGGGTTACGCCAAGCACAACCATCCCACCGCCAAGAAGCCTGGAGGCAGGGCAAGGCAAGCTGTCCGGGCTTCTCTCCCACCCTTGCGCGCGCGCTGGCAGAAGGGCACCCCCGGCCGCCCCAAATCCGGGCGGCCAGCGCCAGCTCTCTAGCGGATGGTGCGGGCGAGGTGGGCTCCTCTTACCTTGCTGTCCTCGCTCCTTTTCAAGCCTCGCCGGGGCTTGTAGACCTGGTACATGTGGGCGAAGTCCAGCCTGCGCACAGGGGGGAGAACAAAGCGGCGTTAATTTTAATTGAAGTTCAAGCCCCGTCCCTGCTGCAGCCCCCTCCGCCCCGGGGTCAAGTTCAAGCCCATGCCCGGCTGGGGGCATCCGCAGCCCGCCGCTTACCCGGGCATG